GGAAACTATGTTTGCTTGAAACACACTGTATAGATAATATTGAAGTAATCAATCATGCAGTGCAAGAAGTGAATAATTTTTTCTGAGAATGCAGATGAAAAAAACGTGCAGGAGATTATAGAGACGTTTTACGGTTCTGCTCTATTGTTGTTGAACCATCTTGAATAACAAGTGCCAAATGTGATCTTTGGAATCAGAGGGTCCTATCTGAACCAGATGTTGAAAATCATTTACAAGTGGTCACTCTTTTTTCGTGACTTCGGATGGACGGGAAAGAAATAACATCTTTGAAATAACAAACATATCACAGGATGTATACAGGGTGCATCTGAATAACACCGAAATGATTCAAGGGGTGATTCCATGTTATATTCTAGCAAAAAAAGTTTACAAGAGCATGTGTCCTTATTTGCTCCGTTTTAGAGATACAGGATGTTGAATTAGGAAGTAATGAATGTTTTTAATTATTATACCTCCGCTGTATAAGCTGCCATTGGAAAGCAAGTGAAATTTTCGTTTCTCATACGTTTAAAGGTTGCATGCATGAAATTGAAATGTAATTTTCAAATTCATTTTTTTTCAATGTATCAATCGCTCAAAATGTGTGTTGAACAATTGATGGCAAGTTTTTGCTACAACTGCTATCTGCTATTGTATTCGAGTGTTTTAATAGATGGGTTAAATCAACCAAAAAGAGCATATGAAAATGAGCCTACCTGGTTCAATAATTGAATCAACCAGCAAACAATATTTGAATATCTTTAGTCAAAAAACGAATGTAATTGTTGTTTTGATCAAGAAAATTGGTTATCAACCAGATTTTAATGTCACAACAAAATGAGTGATATGTTAACCATAATTTTTGTCAGTTCACTTATATTTTGTATAGATAGCCATAATATTTGGTTCACCAACAAAGTGCACAGTAGATAAAGGTATATATTGACTATTCTTCAGGTTTTTGTACCACTGAATTAATACAGATTTCGAATAAACATCAAGTTTATTCATTACATGGTGGTCAACTTTACAAAATATCTACAGTATAATTCTCTTCAGTTGTAATTTCTCGTCTCCGTTATTTGAATGTTCTCTTCCATTTATCCTTTATAACACTCAATGGACGTTATTCAATTGCTACCACAGTTTATCATCTTCTTCCTGCAAGAAATGTATAGAATCGAAATATGAATTTGATATTGAATTTATTGAATTCATGAATAATACTCACCATCACATAATTACGATCATCTGATGAATTTTCCTCATCATGATTATTAATTGGAAAGACTACATCAGTGGTACTCCTTGACGAGAGATTTCAAAACTTTCTCAATCTTCTTGTATGGTTCTGGTACTTGTCATATACAATCTTCCTGGGGATATATCCACTTCTTCTGTACTAAATGATCCAAAAATTGAAGAGAGTCCTGAGAAAAAGAGAACGTAAGCAATAATTTTATACAGTGTGTTAAATCATTACCAAATTTAGTACTGAATAACTACTCGATATTGAATAAGGTGATTACATAATCAACTTACCAGAATCACTTCATTGCAGAATAGGTATAACGTGAAACGATAATATCAAAATACAATAAAGCCACAACACAAAGAAAAAATTAAGACGCCAGCAACAAAATCTCATGTGGACGCTGTCGCCCTGCAAATACCAATGGGAATAAGATTACAAGCTCATTTGTCAACCCTTCAAAGAAGGTTGGTTGATTACCAACTATGACAGTGAACGAGCTGTAATAATATATTAGTTATACAACATAACATAGTCTAAATATTATCTTTAGAGTGATTTGAAATAGTCGCAGGTTGATATTACCTTCCTTTTCGTTTGATTACCAACTTTAACAGTGATCAAGCTGTAAGGATATTTTAGTTACAATATAATATAGTTGTAATACTATCTTTAGTTCGATTCGAAATACTTATATGTTGATTATAACTTCCTATTCGTTTGTCTACCAAATATAACAGTGAGCGAGCTATTATGATATATCAGTTACCAGTTATAAGTTGTTGAAATACTACTCCTAGTTCGATTTGACTAATTTTCACAAATTATTGGTTGTACCAAAAAAATAATATCAGAACCAACTAATATTTTTGGTTGACGTTGAATTTGTTCATGTACAATTTTTCCTCAATTGTTTTGACGATCACCTAATCATTGAATGTACCATCATTGTAGTTTTTTTCAACAATTATAACGATGTTGTTGATTAAACACATTTTTTTCTCGATTCAACCCATACTATTTCTTTGAGTGAATGAATTCAGTTGTTTAGCTGTATTCACAGTTCTAAGCGAAGTGTTATTGCTAACTGGTGGAAATGACCTAATCATTGAATGTACCATCATTGTAGTTTTTTCAACAATTATAATGATGTTGTTGATTAAACACATTTTTTTGTCGATTCAACCCATACTATTTCTTTCAGTGAATGAATTCAGTTATTTAGCTGTATTCACAGTTCTAAGCGAAGTGTTATTGCAAACTGGTGGACATGTTCTAATCACTGTCACTAAGACTCGAAATTTTGATGAAAATACGTTGAAAATTATTTTTTGATTTTATACCAGCTTTCCAATGAGGGGTCGCAAGCCATAGGGTTGCATTTGAAAAAAATATGTTGGGGTACATTCCTGCTACCCCCGAAGTGTTATATTCTTCATATTGCTCGCCAAATGTAGGTAAATACATTTGAACGTTGACCTGTCTCGCGAATTTAAAAAAAAATCATTCACTCCCCAGTAGCGAATTTATTCAAGTTGAAGTCTCCAACCTGTATGTATAGGCCTATATTGAGTTCTGTGGTCTATAACCTTGTTTAAAGCAGGTAACTTATAGATACGTATATAATCATCTTTAGCTTTCCATACATCTTCTTTAATTGTTCCCTATAATTCCTGGTATTACTTAACTTTTATTCTGGGATACGTTATAGGTATATAGGTTTCCGAACCAACATCTGGAAAAACTCTTCGCATTTGTTTTACAATTTCTAGTGTTTCCGTAAATATAACATATAAACAAATTTCTGATCTGTACTCAAAGAGGAATTGTGAAAGCCCTTCAAAGGATTTATGTGGAAATAAACATAAAGGAAAACAAACTAAACGTAAAAAATGTCATTCACAATACGATCAGAGAAAATAACAACAAAGTGGACTAGAAAGTTGAAATTTTTCATTTTTAACGGAGCGAATAGGAAAATGAGGGATCTCGACTGATGTTTCATATGCTGTTTATGTCTTAATTAATTATGATTATTGACATTTTCACCCACATTTTCGTTACTTGAATGAAATCATGAATAGACAAAGGTAAGATAGTAAACGATCGATTTTCAAGATAAAGACTATTGAAATACAGGGTGTCAATTTGAAAACTTCCCACCCTCAATATCTCCCTCCAAGTCGTTAATATGGAAAAACGAGAAGACAGGTCGATTTTATTCTCGCGGGGGACACTTTGAATTGATATTTTTGACCATCATGGTTCAACCCCCTAGGAGGGGTAGATGTCACCCTCAGAATATGAATAGGGAAGAGGGGTCAAGTGGCACATCATTTTGTAGGGCGTTCAATTCTCTTTCCAACGATACCTACTTTACTATTTTTTGACGAGCAATTTCTTCTGCCACTGAACGTAAGGAGCTAGTAGGTTCTGCAGCAAATGTTCCCAAAACTTCAATTTGAGCTTCTTCATTCAGTACTCTAGGATTATTCCTTTTTTTATTTTTCATCGAACCAGTTTCGTAAAACTTCTTCACCAAATCAAGCACATACCGGTGACTAACATTACAATCTGGATTTCTTTCATTAAAAAGAAATGCCGCTCTTCGTGCGCACTTTCCAGCCTCTCCATAAATCACAATAATTCCAGTTCTATTTAAAAGAGTGTAAACCATTTTCACAATTATAGGTACCTACTCTGAATAAACGTATTACTGATTAGCTCAACAAATAAAACTCATCAATCAATAATACTACCAGATCGTTTGAATTTGCTGAAAAATTTTTCGCTCAAAAAACAGAGTTTTTTTAAATCAGCAGTGGCAAGAAAGGAACAAAAAACGAAGGCCATCTGTAGAATTGAAAATCCAATGATAAACGCAAATAAGCAATCATCGAAATGTCGCACTATTAGATTATTGATGTTGATTTATTGGAGCTGATGGCTAATTATGTTGCCCCTGTTGAAAAGATGTGAGGTTGTTACCTGTTTTCCTGTCCAGTTTTACTGAAAGGAGAATCAATACAAAAATCTCTGTTCGAATACTAACCTGAAAATCATGCATCTTTGTGCAGGCAAGTTTAGATCACTTCTGTAGGTTTAAAACGATATTTTTCAGAAATTGCTCGTCAAAAAATAGTAAAGTAGGGTACCGTTGGAAAGAGAATTGAACGCCCTTCAAAATGATGTGCCACTTGATCCCTCTTCCCTATTCATATTCTGAGGGTAACATCTACCCCTCCTAGGGGGTTGAACCATGAGGGTCAAAATGATTCATTCGAAGTGTCCCCCTCGAAAATAAAATCGACCTGTCTTTTCGTTTTTCCATATTATCGACTTGGAGGGAGATATTGAGGGTGGAAAGTTTTCAAATTGACACCCTGTATATTTTCTCAACCATTTCATTTTATTCACGAGGATAATAATTGTGCAAAATTGTATATGCTATTTCACTTCGTCTCAATGAATTTCACCAGAATATTTCGAATTTTTGTGTTTGCCGGGTTTTACTAATCGATTTTTCTCTCAATAATGAATTGATATGCAAGAAAACCCTCGACAGCCGAAAATATCGTATTTCACAAACAGATTCATTGAGATATCAACAAATTCTGAAAAGGTACCTGAGATTACCAAAGCTTCATTTAGATGTTGAGTGAACAAAGTTTTCATTCAAGAATCACCCTGTATCTCGAAAACATTCCAATGACACCCTGTATATCTAATTCCCAATTGTTTATTTCAGTTTTAGCAAGTGAAGATGCTCAACCCCTCGAGAACTCAAATTCCAACCTGACTAACATCCTCACTGAAAATCTAGACGGCCACGTAGAACTGTCAACCCTTGATTTACTCCCAACAACTGATCCAACACACCATGCCCATCAAAGGAAAGTCTTGAGATACGTTATGAAACGACCTATTCACCGAAATTCAACTTCGAAAATAAACAGAAAGGAACATTTTTCCGTCCATACAGAGACTAATCCATCGAGTCAAGTTGGCTTTGAGAAAAACAGTGGCGATGATAGAGAAGTATTGACAGATACTTCCAAAGCCTACTCTGCGGCAAATGATGAGGGCGATAAACATCAAGTTATCGATGAGAAATACAAGAATAATGACGTCGAGGGTGGTAATTCAGTGGAAAAAGGTTCGGAGACTACCGGAAGTACAACGGGAGACAAAGGTAAGATATATTCGAAATTTGAAACTGGAAAGATAAGATACCATCACTGAAATCGAGTGACCTTAGATAAGAGAACATTGAATGAGAACATAATTATGTTCTAATCATGGTGAAATATACTGGGTGTCCCGAATTCAGCTTGCCAAACTTCACCAGCGGCTTCTATGACCAAAAATAGGGAGCTACGGCTCCCTGAAAGGGGACTGCTGAATATGATAACTAGTTATCTACCATTTACGTTAATTTTTCATTTTATGAACTATTGTGGTAGTGACTTTGAGTTTCTCTCTCTTTGTGACCAACAAAACAATTTCATTCTAGTAGCTTCATCCTGCTACTGAATTCCAATCCCTAATTATTATCGACAGAAATATAATAATAATAACATTTATTGATCCCAATGCGAATTCTCAATGTATTTCTTCATATATGTGTACACCGTGTCCCAGCTAAAATGAGTAAAATGTCCCCCCTGTAAAAAATCAAGATCGAAAGACTTGAAATTTGGTCACACAGTATATTTGATGATGCTCACCCGAATTATGCTATTGAATAAATCGTAGGTATACAGGGTCACACCAAAGTGCACCTCAACTTTCTTATTTGAATAGGGACACCCTGTATATTATTCCATATTCAAGTAGAATTCGTTATTACAAAATCAACAATGCCAGGTTTGATGGGATTTTTCCAAACGACTACGAAGATATGGCAAAAAATAAAACGATTCATTGAAAAATTTATATGATTAGATTCCATCAATATAACACGATTGAAAGGCGGAGGAAAAGAAAATAATTGAAATCAAATAACCACCAATTGTCTCGATGGTGATAGCAACTGGCCAGCTCGGTCGCCAGACCTCACCCCACTTGATTTTTATTTGTGGGGCTACTTGAAACAACAGGTTTATGAGTCGCCAATTGTGAATATGGAAGGAATGAAAGAGGAAATCAGAAATTTATGCACACAAATTGATCGCAACGTGATACATAGGGTCACAATGAACGTTATTAAAAAAGCTTGGAAATGTTTGCAGCAGAATGGACGACATATTGAGCAGTTGAGGTTGTAATTATTTTTTTTCATTCGCTTCCAATCGTGTTATATTTTTTGCCATATCTTCGTAGTCGTTTGAGAAAATCTAATCAAATCAGGCATTGTAGAATTTTGTAATAATGAACTCTGCTTGAATGTGGAATAATATACTGGGTGTCCCTATTCAAATGAGAGATTTGAGGTGCACTTCAGTGTGACCCTGTATACCTACGATTTATTCAATAATATGATTCGAGTGAGCATCATCAGATATATTGGGTGACCAAATTTCAAGTCATTCGATCGCGCGGTTTATTTTTCATAGGGGGGGGACATTTTAGCTGGGACACGGTGTATATCTTTTTTTTTGTGTTCATAAATATATCTGAGAATGTTCCTTTTCAATATAAAAATACATGTTTATAGAGGGAAACAAAAAAAAATTATAAATCGAATATGCAATGAAATGAAAGATAAGCAGTTCAATCAGAATTAATTGATACAAGGAGAGAAAAATTGATGAAATATATTTCTTCAGTTCACTCTTGAATTTTGTGACGAACTTAATAGATTTCATTCTGTTGGGTAGACTATTATAAATATTTAGTCCACAAGAATATAATGATTATTTTCCCAATTGGATTTTTGATTTGACAGTTTTCAATCATCAGAATGGATATTAAAAGTAAGATTCGAGTGCTTTTTCTTATTTTTAGTGTAATGGATGAAAATGCACACTTTCATTTTGAAGAGAGAGTCAATATCTAGCAGATCCCTTTGTTTGTATAGTCTAGATGTTGATTCCAGAAATGATGGTTTATTAATACATTTTATGGCTTTATTTTGAAGAGATTTCAGAGGTTTCAAAACAGATTTTGCTGCATCACCTCAGATCGATATCAGATATTGAAATTTAGAGTAAATCAAACTGAAATAAATCAATTTCAAGTATAAGGTTGGGAAACGCGACAAAACTCGCCTATACCTGAGGTCCGGGGGGGTTAGGAAGAGATAGCAGTGGGCGGTTACAAAATAGTCATAAATCAACAAGCATCCTTTTTAGAAAAGGACAAATGACCCGGTTCGCCAATTAGTCAGGGTGATTACCGCGTCCGAATATTTATTTATATTGCCAATAATCTGCCTAGCGCCGATTCCTAGCGAAAAGTATTCTAGCTATATTCATCGGGTAATCCGGTCATAGAATCTTACTTGATAACACCTCGATTGTGTTATATCCTTGGTTATATCCATCACGTTAACATATGTTATGAAGACTTACGACACTCTTCATTGGTCGAGAGGTGTGGAAAAATTAGGATTTTTTGTATTCTCTAAAATAGATCATGAGATATATTATCCATCATGCTGAGGAGATGCAATAAATATCGGATAATTTGAGGGTTCACGATGGGTTTCACAAACTTCCAATTGTCTATGGTTTCGGTAAATATTCTGAAAGATTCAATTTCATAATCAGAAATTTAGATGGCCAATCGCGGGAAAATGTGTATACTATCAGCAACAAGTAATATGGGAAATATCAACAACAGGATATCTATCCAATATTAGGGTACATAATATACAGATTTACTGCAGTAAATCTGTGTGTTGATGATTGCTAAAAAGCCTCAAGCCATAGCGCTGCTTTTGAAAATCCGATCTTGAAAAACCAAGAAGCAAACGAAATAACTCATCAGATACTATGAGTAGGCTTTAATCATTATTTTCTCAAATTTCAACTGTATCGTCAGTTGAAGTTAACTTTTCTGTTATATTATACAGGGTGATTTACGTAGGCGCAAATATCATCGACCAAATCGTGCGTATTTGTGAGAATGTAGAGCAACGGCTCTTGACGTCCTGTATAGACATCGATCACTATTTCGAGCTGCTTTTTTTTGTGTGGTTTGTTGAAAGATAGATCTAGGTCGGATACTATTCGGAAATTGGTTATTTCATGTACACGTTTTTTTTTATTCGCCAATTGACTTATTTTGAGCACTTTTCGAGAACGTTTTTTCCACTTTTTCTTTAAAAATTTCGAAAAATGAGATAGTATCCGACCTAGCTTGATCCTTTGGCTAGAGCATGAATCGAAAAAAATTTGAAAATATTGAATGGTTTCGAAATGGGAAGTCTAGAGCGAGAGCGCTGAATTTGTTATTTTGTGCGGCTCATTGCTCACTCTTAAGTGATGCTGATCTATTAGACAGAGTTGATGTCATTGCTTGAAATTTTATATTCCATGAGAGATGAGATTTTGTGAAATAATAACAAAATGAAGTTATTGTGATATCAAACATAGTGAAACAAGAGCAATTTTGTGTTATAGCCGTCGAAAAAAATCAGTATCTTGGTTCTTTGAAAAGCATTAGATACTATGTTGCTTTGAGCACAGCTGAAGTGGAATAAAAAACAGCAGCAGCAGTCGTAGGGCAAGAACATGGTACGGTGCTCTTTATAGAAACGGGTTGAACTCGATGATATGCGGCAACATTTCATCAAAGGCCTGATTGTTAAAAATGTTATGATGTGGATTAAGTTAGCACAAATTGAAATATTGTTGATTATTTCACCAATTCCTCATTGGAAGAGAAAATTTTGAAATTCAGTTTCAGCTGAGAAAGTTACAAAATAGGCGATTTCCTTGATTCATAGTACAGAGCTCTGATTTCAAAACTTACCACTTAGCCTTATGATGTGCGATGATAACAATTATGTAAAAAAATAGGTTGATTCAGATACTGAGGAGGAAATAAAATACTAGTATCTATTGAATGCTATGATCATCCCCTCAAACCCCCGCCACCTCTACTTTATAAAATTCCAAATCGCAACTTGAGATACATCAAATTGAGGCGGAAACAAAAACCAATCCGACCAGATGAATAATAATTTATTTCAATGATTCATGTTGGTGATCAACAAAAGTTAGAGAGGGCGAGTAATATGATATTTGAAGCAATTATTCGAAAATATGCTTCAATATTTGATGCTCAATAGTACAGCCTATTCTAGAATTCTTGAAACATTTCATAAAACGTTTTCCCCTATTATTTGTCTACTTTTCGAGAAATATATCAGTTTGAGTACATCCATATTCTCTGGCTGAGTTTTATTAACCATTGTTTCCACATGTGACTCCACAAAAATTGATCTGCAATGAAAATTGACAAAATGTTTGGCTGTAATAACTGACGTAATATAACTTATAATTTAATGATTATGTCACCCCGATATGTATAGATCAAATACTAAAATAGTTTTCTATCTGGTTGGTTATTGCTAGACTTTGAATTTTATATATCTCGAAATAGGGGGTGCCATTTGGAATTCCAAAATAGGGGTGTCTGGGGGTGAAGGGAATGAATATAACATTCGACCGATACTGATATTTTTCTTCCCCCTTGATATCCTACGTCCGGCTACGTCTTTTTGTCAACACATGTAATTTTGTTTTTTCTCCCTTACGATAATCACCTGCCCTGGGTTTTACAGGCGGCATTTTCAATACTTATAGTCACAAACACAAAAACACTTCACACCAAATACAAGGTTCAACGTTTCTGCAAAAAGCAGATCAAACTACTGACATGACGAAAATATTCAACATTGATTCATTTTACCTGGATTCGTAACCATTCAAATGATGTTGAACATTTTTATAATGTCATAAAGTGTTGCCAACGACTAGTTGTTGAAAAACGCCAATGTGCTATTGAAAAAAAGCTAGAAAAAGTTAGACCATAAAAAAATGCGCCGCAGGCGAAAATTTTCAGATATCTAGCTTATTTCTAGCTTTTTTAATACCTATTTCATACTGTTTACCACTCGTCGCACTGGTCTGAACTTTTTCCGCACCCAACCTTTTTCGTCTCTGTTCATCACGTGTAATTTTGAAAGATGAATATATATTTATACACAGACTATAATAAATTTTGTCGAATGGAAAACGCTATTTCAGTGTTTAGAAGTTAGGACTGTTAGGAGTCAATGTTTCAGTTATCTCAACCAGGCCAAATTATCCACAGATGCAGATGCAACATTTACCCTCCAGATCACCTCTTGAAAAGGCCAGTTCTAACCGTAAATAAGCCGTGTTGGCAACACTATATCACCCTGCATCTCAGGATGTTACGCCGTGTAAAAAACAACCCGTTCGGGGAACCACCTATAAGTACTGTCTGTAGGTTAATCGAGGAGGTGGTACATTCATTTTACTTGGTTCTTTGGGATTTTCTCTCCTCGTTTCTATAAAATAAAAGTATTCGTATTATTTCAATATATTTGTAGAGGGACAAATCAGATGATTTGCCCCAAAATGTCACTGCGTTTAACAAATTTTTCTATCAGGGAGTCTAAAAGAAAAATCCAGTAGCTTGTCAGTGACAATTTGTTTGAAAAAAATTTTTGAAGGAAAGAAATATAGATATATTGAAAAAATATCGAATTTGTACTTATCTTTGGACGTTTCGGGACCGATTCTGCTCCCGAAACGTCCAAAGATAAGTACAAATTCGATATTTTTTCAATATATCTATATTTCTTTCCTTCAAAAATTTTTTTCAAACAAATTGTCACTGACAAGCTACTGGATTTTTCTTTTAGACTCCCTGATAGAAAAATTTGTTAAACGCAGTGACATTTTGGGGCAAATCATCTGATTTGTCCCTCTACAAATATATTGAAATAATACGAATACTTTTATTTTATAGAAACGAGGAGAGAAAATCCCAAAGAACCAAGTAAAATGAATCACCTATAAGTATTCTATTATTGTAGACGATTTTTTGCGTTTAGCTAAATTATGGGCACTTGAGGCAATGAACTCGCGTAAAATTACGCATCAGATTATTCAATAGATTTCACTCAATTGACGAACGAACTATTAAATAACTACTTCTCAAAATGTATGAAGAATAAATTATTTTTGTCTCAAAGTAATCAATACCTACTAGTTTATTTTTGAAATTTCATGAATTTATATAGGTTTTTTTAAATTTTATTATTTCTATATTTCATCAAATCACCCGAACTAAGGCTATATCGACTGCCATGTTCTTCTGATATAACTTTCACCAGAGGGCGCAAATATCATCGTGAACTTATGCCTATTTTTGAGGTTGCAGAGGTTTGGCTCCTGACGCATTGTGAAGAAACCAAGCCACATTATGATTTAATTTTTTTTTTGTAGCATATTGAAGGTTCATTCTAGGGCGGATACTATCTGAAAATCCTAAACAAGCAGTATAAATATTTTTTTTTTCGTCAGCTAATAATGCTATATTCAAATACATTTTTGAAACTTTTTTTTTTCGAATTTTGAAAAATGAGATAGTATCCGCCCTAATTTGAACCTTTGTCTATATGATGGCGTTTAAAAATGTACTATATGCCAAACGGTTTTCCCATAAAGCGTCAGGAGCGAGAGCGCTGTATTCATCATTTTTCCAGTCCTATTGTCCACTCATCTCAATTTGAAGAATATACCAACAATGGGAGATATTTTTTCCTGAGCATTTGAATATGCGATGACCAAGATAGAGACTGGTCTATAGTTAAACCTAAGAGATTTGAATTTCTTGTAGGATTTATACAAAAATTCCCGAATTTTTAAGGATCGATTAGGTAATCAGGTATGTTATAACCCTATAATGTAATAGAAGCGAGATCTTGTTCCATTTGGTTTTTTATTACTTGAATATTTTCACGTAATAAATGAGAGTTGTGTCATTGGCAAATAACTGAAAAAACTCCACAAACGATGACGATTTATTGACTTGTAATTTTAAACTTGAGATAGAATTCATATAAATCAGAAATAAAATAGGTCCGAGAATGGTTCCCTGGGGCACACCACAAGATAGTTTTCCTATTGAAGAAAATAAATCTCCCATATACACAAACTGCTTTTTATCAACTAGATCATTGTCAAACCAAGAGTAAACTTTACCTCTTATTCCTATTCGAGAACATGTCAACCTAACCTAACCTAACCTGACACTTCATTAGAGTTTAATGTTAATTCACTTCTCAAAGCCACTTTCGTTTTTTATTCATTCAAATGACTATCAGAATAGTTCATGAAACGAGTTTTCGTCAAATAACTTTTGATACGATGAGAATTTCGATAGGGTTGTAATAAGAAAAAAGTTTGTTTTTTATTCACGCATCGAATGTCATGAAAATATAAAGGGGCTTCAATATGAAATAAGAAAACTATAGTGCTTTGAAATTTGAAAAGTTTGCCACTAAATCTTGCACACCCTGTGATGATTCATGTCAATCAAACTCGGTTAGCGATCCTCTTAGGCCTTATTTGATGTATTTCTTATGATTCTATTGACCAGGCAGTCTCTTTTTTGTTATTAATGTTTTGGCCAGTGGTGCAAAATTGAATTTTTTGGTTATATATTTTTTTACGTGAATATTACTGAACCGATTTCAATTGAATTCCAGGAGTATGTAGGTAACCACTGGAAGCACTCAAATGGGCAACAAAATATATGGCATGCCATTTAAAAAAATATATCATTATGACGTCACACTTTTTTAGGACACCCTGTATAATCGAAATCATTTTCCTGGTATGCGCCTTATGATACAATTGGAGTCTGCAAAATATCAAAATCCTGACCCAACTGATAACTGAGCTATAGAAGACAGGAGGTGAGATGCAGGACCCTGTAGAATCTGTGATTGGAATCTTGCCAAGTTATTTCGGGACACCCTGTATATAATTTCCAAGATATCTTGGAAAAAATGCATCGTATTATTGTACTTTAACACCCTGTATCTCAACTCAACTAACCCTTGGGGGTATAACGGGTGATTTTACAAGGAGCCTCATCCCTATAACTTCTTTATTATTGAATGTAGTAAATCAAAATTTGGGGAATGTGAATTATAGATCAATTGACATTTTTCGACATATCTACTCGCTTTGCCGTACTTCTGGTTTCAAAGGGAATGGCACCAATTTTGATTTTTAAAAAGGATACCCTGAATGTCATTCCATAATCGGTTAGGGATTATCATAGCCAATTCAACGATACCGAGTTGGATAGTGTTATTTCAAACGGTTATATATGTGCATTCGAAGTTTCCATAATATAAAAACGCCTTTCTCTTTGAACCACATGTAGTCTATACTCAACCATTTTTTATTTCAGATGTGCAGACAAAGAAAGTATATGAATTGTTCATAACGAAAAGACCAATACCCATAAGGTACCACACATTCAAAGTACCTTCACAAGAAACTACCACATACCCGAATGGACAGAATGTTAGCAAAAAAGGCCGCAGGAGAAAATTCCTGGAAAACAAACCGCATCTCAAACACAAAAATCATTTGGAAAACTACAGCGAAGCTACTACTTCAATATCTGGTTTGAGCTTGGTTCTGGAAGCTACTGACAATTCATCAGCAAACAGAACTTCTGAATATCTACATGAAATGGACGCTACAACTACAGAAAAAACAGAAGAAAAACAGATAGGTAGAATACCAAATTTCATACTTCTAGTCAAGATTCAATTGTCATCATAATATTGATCAATAACTAGAAATGGAAGTGACTAATGCTCTTCTATGTACAGTGTCATTCATAAAGTTGGCATCATATAGGAACAACTTTTTTTCTGAAGAAAATCATATTCTTGTCGATTATTTGTGATTACAAGTAGGAACCATGATGAAGCAACTAGAATAAAATAGTTTCGTTGGGTTTATTTTTTTTAATATTACAGACATTTCGTAGAAATAAAAATTATAATAAAACATTCAAATTCGAAACACATATGTAAAATTGCAATAAAAACAACTTTTCTATAGAAGGTACGCGCGATGTTCCACGAACATTATGGGAATTTCCTTTCGTGCGCTCCAAGAGATAACAAAAAAACTCCTCTGAAATTCGAACATATAATCCCATTTTCTGCGATTAATTTGAAAAAATGTAAGTTTTGACATAGCGAATATCACGTGACTAACGTGACGAATTTCTAAATAAAATATTGTTGAAAGTTTTTTCAATATGATGCTGACTTCATGAATGACACTGTATGAACGTCATAAATTATTGGATAAGATCAAATAATTCAATGAAACAAACTCATCATTTCTAATTTAGATATCTAATGAACAAATTAATAACCAGAATCATAAAAATATACTGAAATAATTTGCTTTTTTTCCAGATCTGTCTTCTCATGTCTATCCCGATCAAGACATTCTGTTCACTCACACTGGACCAGAAAATGACGAATCACTTTTTGAATTCACAGGATCGACTGAGCAAGATATATTCGGCATAGGTCAAAGCGAGCAACAAAATGTTGATCATCCATTGAAAAAAATCACCGTTTCACTACCAAAAAGTTTCAGTGAAAAAGAATCAGACAACATGAATGATGTTGAAAATAGTGAGGGAGTTACGCTACCAACAGATATGACAACAAGTTTTTCGTACTTCACAGAAAATACAAGCATTTTACCATTGGTCGAACCTACAGAAATATATTTAGGGACTGATGACAGCTTGATAAAGATCACACAGGTGGACACAACAACAGTATCACCTGTATTTTCAAATCAAAGCAGTCAGATCAATGTTGAAAATGTCACCGATACTATTCATTATGTACCAAGAGAATCTTTATCACAAGATACTGAATCTGGTATTACCACTGAAACAACACAGAGCAGTACCAAGAACGTAACCATTTTTGAAGAAAATTCAAGAGTAGTTCCAAATAGTACAACTACCACTGCATCTAGTACAATCAGCGAAGCAACAGAGAATATTTCACATAATATCACTGCTCTTGAAGATAAAAGTGATAGTACAACTACTCTCTCGAGTGTAACTTCTGGAAAAAGAAAGCATGCTCATGCTACTGATACTGTGACTGTTGCTGGAGGTATAACACTCATTTCAGGTCTTGATGCTACTACCACTATTGAATCTGCTATAGATGAAGAAAATATCAGAACACCTGAGAGTTTGCAAAGTTCCACCAGGTCAGATGTGACTTTTTCAGCAGGACTGACCACTGAACCAACTGTTCCTAATACTGAGGAAATGGTCACAGTAATCCAAGTTCACCCAGACACAACAAAATCTGGTAGTACAACTACCACTGCATCTAGTACAATCAGCGAAGCAACAGAGAATATTTTACCTAATATAACTGCTTTTGAAGATGAAAGTGATAGCACAACTACTCTCTCGAGTGTAACTTCTGAAACAAGAAAATATGATACTGATACTGTGACTGTGGCTGAAGGTATAACACTCATTCCAGGTATTGATGCTACTACCACTATTGAATCTGCTATAGAGGAAGAAAATATCAGTAAACCTGAAAGTTTGCATAGTTCCACTAGGTCAGATGTGACTTTTTCAGCAGGACTGATCACTGAACCAACTGTTTCCAACCCAGACAAAGAAAAATCTGGTAGTATTACTGAAACAACACAAAGCAGTACCAAAAACGTAACCATTGCCGAAGAAAATTCAACAGTTGTTCCAAATAGTACAACTACCACTGCATCTAGTACAATCAGCGAAGCAACAGAGAATATTTCACATAATATCACTGCTCCCGAAGATGAAAGTGATAGCACAACTCCTCTCTCGAGTGTAACTTCTGAAACAAGAGAACATGCTTCTGATACTGTAACTGTTGCTGAAGGTCTAACACTCATTCCAGGTATTGATGTTACTACCACTATTGAACCTGCTTTAGATGAAGAAAATATCAGTACAGCTGAAAGTTTGCAAAGTTCCACTAGGTCAGATTTGACTTTTTCAGCAGAACTAACCACTGAACCAACTGTTCCTAATGCTGAGGAAATGGTCACAGTAGACCCTTCCCATTGGTACGGTATCAGTAATGAAGAGGGCATCATCAAAGTTCACTCAGACACAGAAAAATCAGAGAACATCACCGATGTTTTCGAGGATCAACAAATACCTACAAAACAAGATATTGGTACTACTGAAACTTCTGTCGAAGCCACTACTACTGAAGAAGCTGAGGAGATTGTTACTGTGGACCCGTCCCAATGGTATGGAATAACTGGAGATGATGGTACCATCAATGAAGTACCAGATACTTCGAACGATGATGTGACGGCGAAAGTTTCTGAAAATGAAGTCCAAACTACAACTGAAATTGCGCCGGTAGAACAAGATACCTTGTTTAACTTAAATACGATTGGAAAGGAAAACGGAGAACCAGTTCCTAAACCGAAAGTGAAGACAAGTTATAGATCTGATAAAGCACTACCCTTACCAGATACAGAAACTGATAATGAAAATGATATGATATACAACAACAGATCAGGCGATAAAACTAGAGATAGTGCAACTAAAGAAATTTCTGAATTGAGCACTTTTTCCACAACTTCTACGTATAGTACTGAAGCTGGGCCAAGTGAGAGTTACATAAAAGATGAAGCAACAACAAGTTCCTTCGATTCATCCAATACAATTCTGGGCAATATCACGACAGTATTTGACCAATCTTCAGAAGAAAGAGGAACTACAGAATATGACTCTTCTGTACATTCTATTGATACACTGATGAAAGGTACACAATTCACAAGTTCTTCAGTAATAGATCATACTGAGGACAGCACAAAAAATTCGATTACTTCAGTGCTGACCCACGAAGAAAATGAACAGCCAATTCTCATGAATATGACTCGTCTTTCTGATGATGAAGTATATGATAAAGATGCTATTGAATCAACCAGCGATTTTGGTGATGCAGTTGAAGATATCGTAACTGAAGCAGTTGTTGACTCCAATTCAATATCGAGTCATAGTAGTGAAGATATAAATATAGGAACTGAACAAACTACTGATATCGTTCAAAATGAGACAATAAATTCTTCAACAGTAAAAGACATGAACTCTGTGGTAATTCTGAATGAGGAAAATGGTTTCAAAGAGTATACAACTAAAGCGAATGAAAAAGAAGAAGAAACAACAGAAAGTTTTACTGATTCTTTCAAAGAAAATTTGGTTCCGACTGAAGTGAAATTTTGGATAAATTCAGATGAACACGTTTTGAATATAGTCGACTCAGATGAGAAAGAGACAGACCAAGAATTTGCTACCAGCACATCATCTAAGAATCTATCCAATAAGATTGATGAATCTGAAAAAGTTAATGCAATCAATAGAAACAAAGAAAATGCGACATCTCAGAAAGAAATGTTTCTTAATAAAAACAGAACTGTGGAACCAATGATGCAAGAAGGAGAACATTTCTTTGAAAACGAGTCTGCATATATCGTGAGAAATATTTTGGGAAACCCTGCAAATGTTAGCATCCATATACAAATTGAGGTATGTTTTAAAAGGATTTGTCAATTGGAATAGTATATTGTTTAACGAGCACGGAATGATAGGGAAATTGGCATTCCGTGCAAGTTATACACTATAATTTGTCTACGGCTGTAACAGATAACAGCGGTATTTTTGATCTCTTCGTCTTGTAGCCATTCCTGTCAAGTAATGCTCATCTATTAGACAGAGCTGTCATTGCTGGAAATTTGACATTCCATGAGCGATGAGATTTTTTTGAAATAATAACAGAATGGAGTCATTGTTATATCTGCATGATATGGAAATAAAATTGATGACATAACACAAAACAAGAGCAATTTTATGTTAAAGCCGTAGAAAAATAATGTTCCTATCAGTACATACATACATACAGTGTGTTACAATTTGCTCCACCCCACCCCTGTATTTCCTTATTCCTTGGGCGATTCGGACTTTTTTTTTTCTCATATTATACTCCCCAAAATTATCTACTTCTGTCGAGAAAAAAAAATTATCAAACACAATTTCTTGGCCTACTGCGATTACAAAAACTAGAGCAAAATTGAAGAAAACAGATTAGGCATTTTTTTACAAAAATTTCGATAATGGCAATCGATTCGGACTAGTCACAAATACTCCTATATCAATTTTCAAAACAATATCTCATACGGGGTGTTTTTTATTAAGGTTACAATTTTTCAATAATTGCATTTTTCAAGTCACCGTGTATAATGATCTTATAAGAATTTGAATGATACCAGGCATGATGGTAGTCAGGATCAGATCATCTGGCTACAGAGTGAGATAAATAACGAATAAAACCATTAGAAATTCAGATTTTTTATCAAGAAATTTAAAGAAAAAACTAAATAAAACATCAAAAAATAATATCAAAAAATTATACAACGAACAAAACATCAATTATATCAACAAGTTTAGATGTGTCTATTCTCTATCAAATCTCCTTCATTCTCTATACATTTTTCATATCTTTTTCTCACGTTATTTACAACTCTCATCAATTCTTCTGGTTGTATCTCTCTACAAACTGTTATTATCCTTTGTCGCAACTCTTCTCTATTGGTTGGCCTGAATTTGTAAACCTTTTCTTTCACTTTTCCCCAGAAGTAAAAATCAAGAGGGGTTAAGTCCGGTGAACGGGGAGGCCAGTGCATCAATGGACTATTACGACCAATCCATTTCAAAGGAAATTTACGATTCAACCATGCTCGCACAGTGATGGCGTTATGGATCGGAGAACCATCCAGTTGAAAAATAATATCTTTTCGTATATTTATTGGAAGTTCTTCAAGACTATCCCATAGCTGATTTTCTAGGAAATGGCGGAAATTGTCAGCATTCATCGTACCATCGAAGAAGAAAGAGGTCCAATGATCATATTCGCGAAGCGTAATTCATGGCCAGCTTTTCACATAATTTTCAATCAGTAGGATTCATCAGAATTGAACAGTAACAACATTTCTCCTTTTAATTATTTTTACAAATTCATGCCTAGAGATAGAGAAGTGTTATTGCGATAAAGAATGATAACAGTTTGCAGGAGGGACTGATGAGAGTTGAATAATTGCTGTTTTGTTCGTTGGATAATTTTTTGAAGTTATTTTTTGATACGTTTTTTTAGTTTTTTCTTCAAATTTCTTGTTACAAAATCTGAATTTCTAATGGTTTTAATCGTTATTTATCTCGCTCTGTAGCCAGATGATCTGATCCTGACTACCATCATGCCTGGTATCATTCAAATTCTTATAAGATCATTATACACGGTGACTTGAAAAATGCAATTATTGAAAAATTGTAACCTTAATAAAAAACACCCCGTATGAGATATTGTTTTGAAAATTGATATGGGAGTATTTGTGACTAGTCCGAATCGATTGCCATTATCGAAATTTTTGTAAAAAAATGCCTAATCTGTTTTCTTCAATTTGGCTCTAGTTTTTGTGATCGCAGTAGGCCAAGAAATTGTGTTTGATAATTTTTTTTTCTCGACAGAAGTAGATAATTTTGGGGAGTATAATATGAGAAAAGAAAAATTTCGAATCGCCCAAGGAATAAGGAAATACAGGGGTGGGGTGGAGCAAATTGTAACACACTGTATATGTATTTTTCAGGATGAATTCGAGTATATTCCGTCAGATGTTTATATCCTTGAAGATCTCGAGAATCAACTTCTCAACTTCACATGGATATCAGCAAATAACAACATCAACAATTCTTTGGCATTGAGCCTAAATCGGACAGAGAACGTCTACATGATAAGTACAGTTTATCTGAATATTTTGAAAGGTAAGGATATTCATTCATGTATATACCATATACATACAGGGTAAAAAAAAGTTCATAATGTGACTTGAATTTTTGTATCTCCTTCAGTTTCTCAAATATGAGGATGGACCTTGTTATGAAGGAGTCCCTGTACATAAACAGATTTACTATTCAATTTCAATCACCTTGTTCACAAATTCATTTTTTTAGGAGGAGCAATATTGTATCTGAAGAAAGATATAAAGAGTGAACCTCAACTATATAACAGGACGAAGAACTTCAACTTTATAATTGATTTAAGTTATAGAAATAAAGTTACATTTTCAAATGTGGACTTTTTGAGGATACCAATAGACGAAACTCCGAACAAAAATATCCGAACAGGTATATAAGAGAATACTTTCGATATAATTATGGTAGTAGTGGGTAGTGAAAATACTTCTTCATGTACCTAAGTAAAATACCATTATTACCAATCGCAACATATTGTTCTCTGTATTGAATGTAATTTTTCTATACTTTTTCAGGTATTCAGCAATCTTCAGAAGAGCGTCAAAACAAAGGTAATCACATGGAGATTGTCATTGGAGTCATAATTATTGTTGCTGTCTTATTAATAATAATATTTCTCCTGGTGGAGAAACGCAGGAGGAAAACTGTTACTAAAACAATAGATAGTGATAAGAATGTATGAACAAATGAAAAGTTGGCAGTATATGATCCGAAGAGTGGGCCTAGAAAATTTTGAGTTTATTTAACAGGGTGTGGGTAGGACACTTCAAAATTAGTTGGGTTTCATTCAACTCAAGATACAAGGTGTTGAAAAAATGTTTCTATGCACATTTTTTAAGATTATGTCGAACATTGTTAGGAAATTTTGTATGTATTTGTTTTAATATCTGACTCTCATAAGGGCACTAGTTACACGGTTCGTACCTAATAAATTTGAACACAATTTTTTTGATATTCGATTTTCCAATGCGCAAGGGGGTCAGGTTTTTTCGAAACACCCTGTATAGGCATCTAGTTCAATTATTTTCATAAATTCTACGATAAGTTCCAGTATAGTAGGTTTAATTCTCAGCATTGGTTTCTACTTTAAGACTGTACAATCGGAGGATATTTCTATATTTGAAAGTGCCATTTTTATGTATATAAAAGCTATATTATATAGTTCTATAAATATTGCCACAAGTTGATGTATATTCTAAGGTTTGTTGAACATGGAAATATTTTATACCTTCTGTAAATACAATATTAATGATGATACTCATTTTTTTTATATCTAATGCAGGTGAAGGATATTCCTTTCTACTAGTTTTTCAGAGAGGCGAGTGGGCAATTTTCTTTTATTTCTTAAATAGAGTCATCACTCAAATACCTTTCAATTTCATATTTTTTTAGAATTTTTCGTTCGATTTTAAGGTGCTAAAATCACCAATAATGCCACGGTGATTTTCAAACGGTTAAAAATTTACCACGGGTAAAAACTGACGACACGATTTCGTTAGTAGGGACAGACCATAGCATGTAGATGTAGATTGTAGATTGTAGATGGGTCGTATAGGCTGGGAGACCTCTCGATCACTGCGACCTAGAAGATCTATTGTGATTACCCCTATCTAGTTTTGGTCCTCTAACCCTAGACTTCTGATGAAGCCTACGATTTTCCTGACGGTTGAATTTTCCACTTCAGCAGGGGTGAGATAGACCTGTTCTAGGTGGTTCAGCCTTTGGCGAACTAATACTTCACATGAGCAAAGTATGTGTTCCGCGGTTTCGGTCGCGTTGTTACAAAAGCGGCAAGTGTCAGTCTCCGCCAGGCCCATCTTTTTGAGGTGGTACCTCAGAGGACCGTGTCCTGTAAGAAAGCCTGTGATAAGCTTTAGCTCTGGTTTGCTGAGGCTTTGGATCGGTTCTGCGAATGGTTGATGAACCATTTCGCTTGTCGTTGACCTGGAGTTGCTCTCCAGTAGGAGGACTTTTCAATTTCTTCCCATATCCTGAGTTCTCCCTTTAGGTGACAACTGCTTATCCCACAAAAAGGCTCAGGACCAAAAAGTGCAGATGCTGCACCTTTTTTTGCAAGGCGATCAGCTGCCTTATTTCCTTTGATTCCTTCATGCCCTGGAACCCACATAAGTGTGACTTTGTTGTCCTTTCCCAGTTGCATGATTGTTTCAAAGCAGTCCCATGTAATCTTTGAAGTGAAATCGAATGATTCTAGGGCTTTTAGTACGGCTTGGCTTCTGAGCAGATATATATGTTGGCACCCCTCAGACCTTTGCTCAGGCACCTTTGGGCGCAAAGGTTGATCGCATGTATTTCAGCTTGAAAGATAGTGGGGGACAGACCATAGCATAGTTGCCATATGTTTCAATACTATTGGAGCCTCAGCAATATTATTTATTCAATAATTCATATATTCTCAATTTTGTATTGGTTATATTCCTAATTATACATAAAATATCAATTATCTCAAAATATTCTCTCATCTGTTGTGGTTTATTGCTTATAATACATTTGTGTTAATAATAATATTATTATATTAATTCACACTAGAGGACATTTGAGGTCGAACGTGACAACACGGCGCACGAATTGTGGGCGGTGCCTTGTCAGTTCTCAGCATTCAGCACTTTGTTGCCAGGTCTTCAACATTTACATGATATTTTATTATGGGGTATAAGAGATATTTGGACATGCTGGTTGCTCGAAAAAAACAAGAATGAACTATAATATCATGACTTCCTCATATCATGTTTTATCTCGTGTTCGATTCAACAGGACTCTAACCTTTTCAATAAATTGATTATAACTGTTGACTTGACGTCATCATTTATTCGACGTATCGCCAAATGGCAGCCATGACGGTACGTTTGATGAGCTCTGAAATGCAACAATTCTTTAACAACGTATAGACTATACAGTGGAGTAATTGAAGGCCAATAATTCATCATCAGTCCACTCGCCCAATCCGTAAGTGGCGCTGATATTGTCATATTTTCGTAAAGATTCATTATTTACATAAAAAGCGTGAGAATTGTTGCAAAAATGTATTTAGGTCCCTGACAATACAGTGGAGTAATTGTCGACTGCGGTGTGTTTATAAATAAAAAGTGAGGAATGAGGATGTTCCAGAACTAAATATGTGCTTATCAATTCAGTTATAAAATGTGTTCCAGGAATTGCACCCTGTATATCACGAAAACAAAGGGTTATCTGGTCTATGAGTTCTGTGGTTATCCTGCGGAAATATGCCTGTAGGACCTTTATTCCATCTGCAAGGAACACGCGATCGTGATTTTTGGCGTTTACTTTTGAAACACCCTGTTTACACAAACACATTTGAATTCAGAGAAAAAAGTCTGAATTCAGAGGAAAAGTCAGAATTCAGAGAAAAAAGTCTAATTTAAGAAATGAAATACACACAACAGTAGCTCTTCTACGCTTTCGTAAGGGAAAGACTTTCAATCAAGAACGCTGTGAATGCTATGAACGTCCTTCTCGCGATATACGTGTTGCATACATTCAGGGGCAGGGCCATGATCTTTATAAGCGAAGAGACGGCATTCACCATAATTTGAAATGAGTAATTTCAAAAAATGGTGGATACGCCGATGCTACTGCCAACAAATATTGTGGTTTCTACATCTACTAAGGATTGAAGCCATCAGTCCTAATTTTTTTGTTCATACTGTGAAACCACTATAGTCACAAGTGATATTCGAGGTAAAGCGATACTCTTTTTCCGGAAACATATCTGACGACACGTTTTTCCACAATTCTCACAATGAATTTCAGCGAACTGCCACTAAACCGATGTCCATCAAGATAAAACCTGATGAATTATTAGAATTGCAGAAAATGCAGACAGACCCTCCTACTCTTGTGCCAACTATTATATTTTTTTCGATTCTTCATCCAACCACGCATATCATTATCATTCATCTCTTGTCAGGGAGTTTTTGATAGGGTGAGATGATTAAATGATTAGGGTTAGGAGAATGTTCATCTATTTGGACATATTTTACTGTAATTAGTTGGCAGATGTTTGGATCAATGGATACCTTTTTTCATAAGCCACAGAGGGTGATTCATTTCTTGTATAGTCTCTAATTAATTTTTCAATAGGTATAGGGTATTTCCAAACATAGTGCGCTTAAAAAACTTCACTATGGGGAAGATCCTCACTGTGAAGTTTGTAAAAAATTAATATATACGTGTTTTTTATATTTTGCGATAGTATATACATGGTGTTTCAAAAAAACCTAACCCCCTTGCTAGGGTAGGTAGAACATTGCAAAATAAGTTGGGTTTGCTCAGTGAAAAAATGTCGTAATGGCATCCGTTTTCATGATACAAGGTGTTGAAAAAATTATTTTTTTACACATTTTTCACGATTATTCCGAAACTACTGGCAACATTGTAATGAAATTTTGTATGGATGTTTCTTGAAATCTGACACATCGAATGAATTTGTTTTTATATCTGACTCTCATAGAGGGCGCTAGTTACACAGTTGTACCGAGTAGTTTTGAACATTACTTTTTTGAGGTTAGATTTTTCAATACATATATGATATGAACTTAAACATCATTCAATTTTACACCAAAAAGGTACTCCTGGTGAAACTCGATACTATGTTCCGTTTTCGGAATATCTCGATTTGAAAATAATGGAGTGGTAATGATGCTGGTATAAAATGAATTTCATTGGGTTCAATTACCTATTTATTCATGTTTAAAAACAATAAAATCATTCTTGTGCTGAATTTATTGATGGAAAAATGAATCATAAGTAGAAAATTAAGAGATATTTGACTAGAAACATGAAATATTGAATCAGTTAGAGTAAGTGTTCAAAATGTCCTACGTTTCGAGGAATATACGTTTCTATATTCTTTTTTTGAGAATGTATTATATTTCTGAACAGTTGAGGATCAGCTGTTAGGTCATTTAAGTGATGTTCAATTATGTCTCACAACTCTTGACGTGAATTTACCTATGTAGCATAGCCTTTCTGCTCAAGATACAACAAAACTGTGTAATTCATGTCCTTAGTCAAATCGGTTTTGATGTTATTCTTGTGATTCATTGTTAAATCAATGAGTTTTGCATCAGAAATGTATTGTTGTTTTCGGTTTTCAATAAATAGGTGATAATTTTTCATAATACTCACTCTAATACATAGCTTTATACCAGCAACAGTTATCACTTCATCATTTTCAAATCGAAATATTCCGAAAACGGAACACAGTATCGAGTTTTACCAGAAGTACTATTTTGGTGTGAAATTGAATGATGTTCAAGTTCACATCAAATTCGGATTGAAAAATCTAACCTCAAAAAAGTTATGTTCAAAACTACTCGGTACGAACCGTGTAACTAGCGCCCTCTATGAGAGTCAGATATAAGAACAAATGCATGCGATGTGTCAGATTCTAATAAACATCCATACGAAATTTCATCACAATGTTGCCAGTAGTTTCAACATAATCGTAAAAAATGTGTAAAAAAATATTGTTTCAACACCTTGTATCTTGAAAACGGATGGCGTTACGACATTTTTTTACTGAGCAAACCCAACTTATTTTGCAATGTTCTACCTACCCTAGCAAGGGGGTTAGGTTTTTTTGAAACACCCTGTATAATTTTTCACTATCGTTGTATTACAATATGTTATTCATAACCTGTCAGTCATTTTTTTGCTAATGAATTCGTTCCTTAGTAAAACGGATCTAATTTCTAGGAAAGTTGCAGATTATATCTTGCAACAGCGACTTATACTTCGAGTCCGTCCACACCACTCAAAATACTGACAAGCAAAATAAGAGGAAAGAGCCATGGGTGTCGGCTTCATTCTGTTCTGACCAATGGCATAGTAAATTATGAGGGATATCATCATTGAATGTAGCCGATAGTGATGGTTCATTGATTCAATGATATTGTCGTTCAGGATCGAGCTCTATTCGAGATATTTCAATGCATAAATAAGAAAATCATAACCTGTCAGAATGAAGCCAACTACCTTCTGCATTCCTGCTCCGAGTGCAGTTGTGGTTATGTATGTTTTTGTTTACCAGTTTTACTTCTTCTTGTATTTTTTCCAATCGTTTTTCATTCGTTAGCTATTCGTCAGCTATTCGCTAGCTATATTCTTCACCATCAGCTATTTTCAGACTAGATTCAGAATGTACATCACAGTTTGCCGCCCCGTTAATTAGAAATTGCTGAGAACGACTTAGACTTTATCGGTCGCCATTCT